CTCTGATACCAACTGTGACATCCCCAAAATCACGGCCAGAAAAGACCGATTTTGTTTATGCTTTATAAAAATCAGAGTACTTCATTTTATAAAAAGGTTGCGGAATTTGTTCCCAGAAAAACACGATAAATACGTTATTAAAACATTTTCGAAGAAACGTATTTTTATTCATCTTAAAACGTTTGGGATGTCATCGTCAATACAGAAACATAAGCATAAACAGAACTTACAATTATTTACACTAGTGATCTACATCTCTTTAAATCTCTCAGAGTAATGTCACTTCATATCGTCACCTGTGATGTAAATAAACTGAGTGGGTCAGGTTAAAAAACCTGGTGAGTACATAGGGTTTTCAACCCACAATAATATAGTTATTATGTTTAAACAATCAAACAATCAACCCAATTACCCATCCCCATTATCTTCTTTTAGTCTTCCCTAAAGATATTATCTCAAGGGTCATCTCCTATATCATATTTACTTCTCATCTCCTTACATCGTATTTCCTTGTATGATTGTTCCTACGACTTTACCTAAGGATCATCGCCTACATTGCATAGACAATACTAATCCGGGGATTACTCCCTCAATATGTGTCTAGCAAGAGTTAGGGTATCATCGCATGATTACGCAGCCACAACATCGCCTGGACTTGTAAATCATGATAAGGGTTAGTCTATCATCACATGAATACGTAGCCACAACATCGCCTGGACTCGTACTTCATAATAAGGGTTAGACTATCATCGCATGAATACGTAGTTACAACATCGCCTAAACTCGTAATTCATCACCTACAGGTTACTAGCCTGCTGGTGTTTCCACGGGGTTGTCTATAATAGTCTGTGGTCGCCATCTATACTCTGGTAGATGACTACATCTCCAAATTATCGGACAAGGTTGTAGTATCCTACATCACCGATTCATAATCACCTATCTATCATCACCTTCCTATCATCACCTATCTCTCATTATTTTATTTCATCACTCACCAACTATTTCATCTACCCATGTTTTATCCCAACATATTTGTAGATATAAAATAAATATACAGGTTAAATCATTTAAAACATGTATAAATCATTCATCCAGTATAGACAACAAGTATTCAAACAATATGCACAAATAGCACGTAATTTATATTAAAATACTTCATATCTATGTGTAAGATGAAAGGGACCATGCACTCACTGAGTAGGTGGTGACTCAACACTCGACAACGCTTCGATACTCTCAAAACAATTTCCTTCGATAAAACCTAGTATCAATACCACTAGGGTTTAGTCCAACGATAACCGCGACAAACTAATAGTCTGACTATTATTATTATTATATAAGCGTTAAATAACACTCAATATAACTCATAATAATAGCCCAAATATTCATTATAAGTTCCTAATAATGTTACTATATTAAAACATAAGCTATACTAAAGATGGGTTAGGCGTAGCTCACTTACAGCGGGTTTTCTCGAAAACCGGGCTTCGCTGGAGCAGCGTTCCCGAGCCGAAAGGCTCTTTTCTCGGGACTCCGGGAGCCTCGGGGCTTCCTTCGGGTGCTAGGGGGTTTACCTAGGCTTTTAGGGGGGTTAGGGAGGCTAGAGAGAGAAACTAGAGAGAGAAAGAATGTTGGAGAGGTGTGAAGAGAAGTGAATGCCCGACACCTCTATTTATAGGGGTGCTGACTGGTCTAGTCGCCGAGTAGGGGGGACCTACTCGCCGAGTTGGTCCATGTGGTGGCCTTCTGGTGGTGCCACGTGTCCAATTCTGGTGGTGCCACGTCACCCCCTATCGCGTATCAGCCTTCGAACTTAGAAAAATCATAACTTTCATATACGAGCTCCGTTTTTGACGTTCTTTATATCCACGCGTAGGTAAAATCAAGATCTACAGCTTTCATTTAGACTCCGTCGGCTAATTCTCGACCGATCTCAAATTTAACAGTAGGAGGAGTTTAGACTGTTAAATGACCGCGAAGAATTCGTAACTCCTTCATACGAACTCCGTTTTCGTCCATCTTTTTACTGTTGAGTTCCTATTAATGAGATCTTCAACTCTCATTTAGGTCGCGTAAGCCAAAAACCGCTCGAACTAAAATTCGAGTTTCGGGCCGTGCACTGCTAAGCCGAATCTTAGAAAAATCATAACTTCCTCATACGAAGTCAGATTTGGGCGTTCTTTTTATCGACGCTCTTAGTTTAACATATTCTAAAACTTTTGTTTAGATTGCTAAGGCTAAATCTTTCTCTATCATAAATTCACTATTTACGCTTCCCGGTGCCGTGCCGGTTTGCCGTAAAACTTCGACGGGCCATAACTTCTTCGTTATAACTCGGATTTCGGCGTTCTTTATATATACGGAAACCTTGTTACATATTGTACAACTTGATTAAGATTATTTATTTTAAATAACCTTTTGTTGAAAAGTCGTTTTCGACCCCTATTGCCTCTAAATTGACTAGCCCGGATCTACGGGCGTTACATGCATTGAGAAGAGCAATTTCCAATGGACGAATGAAGCAGAAAAAGAGCTCCAAAGAATCAAGGAAGCGCTACATGAATTACCCACGCTGGCCAGCCCTGTCCCTGGAGAGACGTTACAAGTGTACCTCTCAACATCAGGCAAAGCGATATCTTCAGTATTGACTGTAGAAAGCAAAGGGGAATAGAGGCTGGTATACTTTGTTAGTAGAGCGCTGCAAGGACCAGAACTAAACTATCCCACGCTAGAGAGGTTGGTCCTGGCGCTCATCTATGCGGCACGAGAACTAAGGTGGTACTTTCAAGTACACTAGATCGAGGTGCTCACGAGTTACCCCATCAAACAGATACTGCTCAAGCCGGAGACGTCGGGCCGGCTGGCGAAGTGGGCGCTCGAACTAGGAGAGCACGACATAAATTACCGCCCAAGGACAAGTATCAAGGGACAAGCGCTAGCCGATTTCTTACTAGAAATTTCGGACAGAGGGGACCCGACCAAAGAGAAAGTGTGGGCAGTTGAAGGGGCCCCGGCTGATAACAGTTCATGGACTTTGTATACGAATGGGGCATCCTGCAGGGAAGGCTCAGGGGCGGGGCTGATCCTGACCATCCCGGAAGGAGAAGAGGTAACCTACGCCCTCCGTTTCGATTTCCACACGTCAAAAAATGAAGTGGAGTACGAAGCGCTGCTTGCAGGATTGCGTCTAGCCAAGCAGATAGGTGCGAAAGCTGTAACGACCCTAACCGAATCGAGGCTAGCATCAAACCAGGTTAATGGGAGTTTCGAGGTAAGAGATCAGAGGATGGGAAAGTATGTAAAGATGGTGAAACAATTGGTAGGATCATTCGGGAAATTTACAATCAAGCAGATACCTAGGAGTGAAAACAAGAGGGCAGATGCTTTAAGTATGTTGGCATCCACGTGCTTCAACCACCTATCAAAGAAGGTCCTAGTAGAGGTACTCCGTGAAAGAAGTATAGACGAGCAGCAGGTGAACGCCCTAGCCACAGTCGGGCCTACGTGGATGACACCGTTCCAGGAATACCTACAAAGGGGGGTGTTGCCAGACGATCATGGCGATGCTAGGAAGATACGTATAAAAGCGCCTTCGTACGCAATGGTTAACGGAGAATTATACAAGAAAGGGTTCACGACCCCCTGTCTAAAGTGTGGGGACCAAGCCAAAAGGAGATAGATGTTACAGGAAGCACACTTAGGCCTTTTAGGTGCACACGAAGGAGCATATGCTTTAACGGGCAAGGTGTTGTGAATGGTGGTATACCGGCCGACGATATAGCAAGATGCGATAGAAATGACCAGGAAATGTGGGGAGTGTCAGTCTTACGCCCCGGTCCAAGCGAACCCCTTGGTGCCACTGCATAACATATCCAGCTCGTGGCCATTCTACCAATGGGGCATAGATATAGTAGGTCCATTCCCAGAAGCGCCAGGAAAGCTAAAGTATATGGTGGTGGTCGTGGACTACTTCACAAAATGGATCGAAAAGGAGCCACTGGCCTGCATATCGGGGAGACACATGATAAAATTTGTATGGAAGAACATCATGACAAGATCTGGGACACCTAAAGTTCTTGTCAGCGATAACAGCCTACAGTTTGCTGAGAACCCATTCAGAGAATGGTGCACCACCAAAGGGATAAGCCAACGTTTCACATCGGTAGCACACCCGCAAGCGAACGGACAGATGGAGGTATCCAATCGAACCATTGTGAATGGAATCAAGAAGAGGCTAGGCAAAGCAAAAGGGAATTGGGCAGAGGAGATACCGATGGTCTTGTGGTGGTACAGAACTACACCACGAACAAGCACGAAGGAAACCCCTTTCATCCTGACGTATGGGACAGAGGCCATGCTTCCCATGGAGGTGGCAGTGAAGACACTAAGGGTGGCCAACAAGGATGAGGAAAGAAACACACAATACCTAAGGATAAACCTGGATATCCTAGAGGAAAGGCGTGAAAAATCTAGAATGCGCCAAGCTGCATACAAGCATGCAACAGAAAGGTACTACAATCAAAGAGTAAAGGAAAAAGCGTTCAGAGTTGGTGAATATGTTTTGAGGAAAAATGAAGCAAACCGAGCCCATCCCCAAGGCAAGTTGGGCCCAACATGGGAAGGCCCTTATAGAGTCACAGAAGCAAACATGAATGGCGCATATGTGTTAGAAACAATGGAAGGAAGGCAGATTCCAAGAACGTGGAACGCTAGGAACTTGAAGAAGTATTTCTTTTAAACAAGAAAGAGGGAAAGAGACGCAATCCCAACTGATCGATGTACTACTTAGTGTAGCACATCCCAAGTACTTAGAGTACATATGTCCATGCTTTGTGACATGAGTTTAATACTTAGTGTATTTAAAAGTCCGCGGTCAATGTAGAATGATAATGCAATTGCTGATCTTTGATACTTAGTGTATTAATTTATAACGATTGAATGTTCACATGCAAAACTTGATCGTTGGGTGCTAAGAGCGCCCAATACCGACACTTAGTGTGTCAACGATAGCATGGGCAAAACGAAATGCCTAGCGCATCAGGGTGTTGTATCTCCTAAATAATGTATAATAAAAAAGCAAGCAAACCGATAAGCAAAGCGAGCAAAAAACAGACAATGTTTAGAGCATACAAAATACGCATCCAGGAAAATAAAACATTGTTTTTAAAAGTCCAAAAATTACACAAGTCAAAAGCATCAAAACCTAAACCAACTAAGCAGAGAAATTTTTACACCCTGGGAGGGGTAGCACACGATGCTGGGGCACCCTCCCCAACATCCTCTCCATCACCCACAGCCACCTCACCAAACATTACCATCACCAATACCTACTCCAACATCGAGATCACCTTCACCACCAGCCTCACCATCCTTACCATCCCCTTCCCCACGCATCAACCTCAACTACTGGCACAATTTCCTGACCCATCACACTTTATGGAGTACCCTCAGAACCACAAAAAGAACATAACTCCTGAAGACCTTCAATACCTAACTCCCCCAAACCCAAAGAGATGCATGATCCATACTGGCAAAAGACAAAAGAGCATCATTTAAACTAACCGCATGACCAACCAAAGAAGCACCAGCAACTACCTCGCCACCACCAACACCAGCAGAAGTCTTCTAAAGGGACTCAACCCCAGCCACAAACGCAACATGGCGGATGAGGCTTATGGCATTGGTAAAATCAGGATGCTCAATCAAATTATCAACAATACGAACAACACCAACACACACCAACCAATCCAGGTCTCGACGAGAAGCATCCATATCCGACTGTAGCGACGACACAAGCTTGTCACGATCAGCGACATCACACTCAAGACTCTCCACCTGAATCATCAAACCCTCATTCATCTATGTGAGGGAGTCAACCTTGGCCTCCAACACGGCTCTGGCTTCATCAAGGATGTTTTTCTCAGAAGCTAGCAACTCGCACTTCTTCTCAGATAAACGAAGATCATCACCAACCTCACTAAGACGGCGCTCCAGAGTTGCCACACGTGATCTACAGGCGGCATGCGCGGTCTGCATCTTGCCATAGGTATGGACGCGCCGGGAACCTGCAACAAGATAAAACATGGCCTACGCGGCAGCGTAGGCCATATTGTGAGCATGGGTAGGGTTACCCATCGCCTCCATATCTACAACTGCAGCTGGAGGAAAGGTGTGGCACGAAAATTACAAAGCGTTGGTGCGCACAGAGAGTCGAGAGTCATTGCGAAGATCCTAGGAAGGAACAAAAACAGTAAACTCAGAAGCACCATCTCTAGAACCACCATCCTTGGAGACTGCAGCTTGTCCAGGGACACCAAAACCTTTTGTTGGGGAAAGCTTTGAAGGAACAAACAAAACACTTGGAGAAGGAATAGAAGAGAAGTCTAAAATAGTGGGCTGTTCAGTCGCCCTGTTGATCCCTTTGGACTGTTGCGTGTCGTCATCAGGGATCACTACCACACCAGTTGGTGTGGAACTCATAGAAATCAACAGAAGAGAAAAGTTGCGCCTAGTATGTACCCTCTTGGTAGCAGTGGGCGCACCAGTAACTGGCTCACCCATGGCTTGTACAACATTTCGTTTCGCCTGCATCCGCCGAACATCAGCGATGATTCCCTCCTTGCTGTCCTCATTATCCTCCATGGAGGAAGAAAGAACGCTACCCAGGGGCATGACAGCAGAAATGGGGCGAGGATGCAGCGGATTCTCCTTGGACGCCGATGAACTTGTCGGAGGAACGAGAGGGGCAGTGGTTAGAGCAAGCTGATCCATCCGGCGAAGTGGAGGAAGCCGATCGACCAGATCCACCTCGCGAAACTCCAACTTGCCCCGATAACGTTTTCGCAACACCTCATCTATGGACAGAGAAGACTCAGCACCTAGGGAAAGCAGAATAAAAATACAAATAACACAGGAGTAATAAGGGGATGAAAAGGAAAAGAGGGATACAACATTCACCATCAACGATGGAGAAGAACACCGCCATTTTGCCATGCTGCCTCCAAGAGGGGCTCATCCCTACCCCAGAAAGAAGTGCCTCGGAGTAATCTTCTGCAGATACCTGCACACTCTTCAAGTAGTCGGCGACACCCTGGTTGTGAGGGAAGAGCTTAGGGATGGTATCGGCGAAAGCATTGGCACGATAGCGACCACTCCCAACCAGCTCCTGATTCACCCACAACCATTTATCCTGCCAGTTTTTGGGGGTACGCCCATTGGGAACTAAGGCGTGTCCCCTTTGCCGGACCGAGAAGGTGCATTTATCTCCGGTAACACAAAATCGGAAGAAAAACTTGAAGACGAAGTAATCCGGAAGATACTGGTTGGCCCTACATATCATTTCAAACGCGACCACTTTGTTAACTGCATTAAGAGTCAACATCTGAAGACTGCAACCATCTTTCTGGAGGACCTCCTCCTGAAAATCCGTTAGAAGAAAGCGTATACCAGCGTCTAGGGTTTTCAAGTAAACCCCAATCTTACCAGGGGGAGGGGAAGAGATGCTAGAGCCAGGAGAGGGAAACTCCACACCCTCTATGGAAGACAAGCCATAAGTGATTTCCAACTGACGATACTCGGTGGCAGATATAATGACTCCGGGAAGGTTTGCCATGAAAGAAAAATGGAAGATAAACAAAAAGAGGAGAAGGAGGAACAGATGAGGCAAGAGAAACCGTGCAAATACCCTTATAAAGAAGTGGAGGATGCGGGACATTTAAATGTCTGACACAATGACGTAACAGCCAGTCATCATGCGCAGTCACGTCGCCATTAAGGACGGAGTGGCGGATAAAGAAAAACCGACACATGTTAGTTAATTAAGCCTAGAACGTCGTAACTAGCACTGTAATGCTACGACTACTGGACTGGGGGACTTGATGGTGTGCCTAGGGCAGCATAGCAGAACCGCGTCTAGCCCAAGAGCCGGGCACACCAACTAGGGTCAGCCCAGCAGGCTTAGCGCCCGCTGGCGTCCCCAGGAGTGAAGCGCGCAGGCGAAAGGCTCGCACCCGCCAAGAGGCGCTCCTTGCTTCAAGACAAAAGATACGGTTAGGAGACAAACAGAAGGATCAGAACATTAATGTGGGAGCCAATGAGAGCGCTCTAGCGGTTTAAGGCGCACGACCCTCCAACCAGCGCCTCTGATCCTGTCTCCCCAAAAGTTATCTTGTTTGGTACGGCTCAGGCAGGAGCGCTAGGTATAACAGGATGTGATCTCAGACCTGCAAGGTAAGTTCTCTGGATTTGTATCCTTTGAGTATATTTATTAAAATTTCTCAATCTAAGCTTTAGATTTTGAAACGAAGTATAATATTCTCTCCCTTAATTATAGCAAAACAACTTTTCAACCCCTACAACTTTGCAAAGTGAATCTTTGTTTTCTATAATTAATATTGCTAACTTGCAATACTTCCCTTAATAATCTTACAAGCATAACATTTATGCTCCCACTATCATGATGATTATTATCATATATGCATAACACTTATGCTCCCACTAGCTTTGACATGTATTCAGAAAACAACTGAACTTCCAGAAAAACAATACGTATTGAATTTATGAAGTTAATACCAGATGCTTCGATAAGCCTTTATCTAAGCTTCTTAAACTTATACACCTTTTCCTTAGAAAGCTCACATGTGTGTCTAGACAGATTCAGAACTTATGTTACTAAGTCCCAAATGTTTAGACTCATTGCCAAATCTCATGATTCGAACTATGGAAAGGGATGCCGTAACAATAATAGAATTTGAGAATACAATTTTCACAATTGCTATCTTCTTAAAATCTCTCTTAGTGAAAGCATTTCCTCACAGTCATTTTCATGAAGGAGGGAATCTTATGACACTTAGATTTTATGGTGTATGTGTTCCTATCCATGTGAATTTGCCAAAACCAAGTTCGCGACAAATCCAAACTCATATGGACTGAACTTTCTTAATCTTGATTTCTTGCCTTATGGTAACACGAGTGGCCACCATGTCTTCCAAGTAGTTTAGCAGCTTATCCTTACATATCTCAGTACTTTCCATCGATCAAGGTGCTTTCTCTTTATGCACTCAAATGAGAACTCATAGAACTCACATGCATAATTCACTCAATTGGAATTCCACATAAACAAAATAATGTCAACACGATATGTTGCCAACCTCAAGTCGTGTGCTAGTGATGATCAACTAGGTTTAACTCTTGATTTGTTCTTGAAACCTTTCAAGACCATTAAGACTCCTACTGACTCCTTGACATATACGATTCTCTTGTCAAGAAACATTCTTTGACAAAACAAATATTCAAGAGTTAGTGTAGTTTTTATCAAGACTATCACTTCACATAATTGGTTCTAGTTGGTCTTTGTCTTATCCAAGACATCACAACTTACCAATCTCAAATGTGCCGGAATAAGAAGACTTTTTCTAATTTCACATTTGTTGAGTGTTATAAACCTACTAAAGATTTGTCACTCAATTCACAATCTTGGTGTATAACTCTAAGACTTAATTTTGGAACAAAGTATGATTGACTTCTTGATTTAACCATTTCCAAAATTCTCGATTCTTCTTCTTAAACACACAAATGTACTAAGACTCACTTAGAGGATCAATTGAGATATGGTTCTCAATCATTAAGACTTATCATAAAACACAACAAAAGGTACTCTCCCTTCTTCTTAGAATGGAGAAACGTTTATCTTTCTGCCTATTTGATTCTTCTTATTCGTTCTGCTATTTCTTGAAACCTTTTCAATCAACTCAGAATTACACTCAATCTTATAAGTATAATCATATTTACTAAACTTTAGTAAATCATGACGAATATCTTTATCACTCTTATGGTGGACTTGATCAACGCACAACCTAGTGTACTCGATCTCCTAGTCCTTCACTTGACACTTTGTCAAAGAATTAGTCTAATTTCCAAATATTAAGTTTCTCATACATCACGCAACCAAGTTGTATGATTCCAAGTTTCATCCAATTGAAACTTGGGCGATGAGAAAATCTCCCCATTTGGTAAATTATCGACATTTCCGCAAATAACATAATTAAGACTCAAATCCATTATTTCTAATAATAGAAACCTTCAAACATCAATTTTCATACACGTCATTGCAAGGATAAATAAATAAGATAAAATCAAAATTTATTTTATTGCGGAAAAAATTTGTCCTTACAATGTAATTCAATTGAAAAACTATGTTATTACATATGTCTTAGCAATCTATTCTAACTCCAAGTGGTAGCTCAAGAATCCACTCTTCAAGCAATGCGATCGAAATCCATTTCATCACGATTAGATTCAACTCACTTCTTCCCTTAATCTTCCTCTCTTTTCTTCGATCATACAAAACATCAAAATATAATCTTATCACATCATGTATTAAGAATCTAGAATAAGAACTTAAAAGAGTTAGTTAATGGATTTTGCCTGAAGTAGAGCTATACGTCTTGACTCTCTCATCTCTTAGATCTCTTGGGTAAATAGGGCAGCTTCGTTTCCAATGCCCCATCTCTTGGCAATAAAAGCAAATGGACTCTTTTCGAATGGCACAAGGAACTATCTCAGAATTTACCTTTTCTGGATCTCCAATGTCACCATTTTCAATGTCCATTGAAGTTTGGGAGTTTGATTCACCAGACAAATTTGCTTGACCAGCACGCCAAATCATTGCTGATTCAGCAGCTATAAGCAAATAGGTGAGATCAATGAGAGTAACGTCGTGATCCATCATATAGTACTCTCTAATGAACTCACTATATGATTCAAGAAGTGAATGAAAAACCCAGTCAATAGCCAACTCCTTGGGGATGACAACACCCAACATACCCAACCTGTCAATGTGTGACTTCATCTTTAAGACTTGTGTACACACAGACTTTCCATCTTCGTGCTTACTTGCCAATAGGGCTTGAGTGAGCTTGAGCTTTTCAAGCCTTCGAACTTGTGGGTTAGGGAGAAAAATTGGAGGAGGTGGAGGAAGTGAAGCATGATTTATTGTTCCTCGATCATATCGTGGAACATCATCTTCATTTGGAAAACATGTTCCATGAGATTTGGGAAGACCATGATTGTCAGAACTAGACATCTACAAAATGGGAGAAAATTCAAGTTAAGTTGATTAGAATCCTTGATGTAACACCCAAATGAAACATCAAGGCTAGGATCCAACACAATACTCTACAACCTAGAAGCGGGATGTCGTAATCTAGTTGCAGAATATTTGAACGTAGGTAAATGATTTACCAATTTCCACCGTGAAAAATGAAAAAGAAGTTTAAGTTTTAAATGAATTGAAACTCCTAGATCTTTTGAGATTCATTGAACTTTTCAATGGCATGTTTAATCTCGATTATGCCCTTCTATTTGTGACTGGGATGCTGAGGATCACAAATAAGGTGTGAATAACCATACGAATCTACGTGGTGCACTCAATGCTACTATCACCTTATCAATGTGTCGGTTAGCCACACACGCTCCATTGATCTATGACAAACATCGAGTCATCCTTCGCTATCAATGTCATCCCCAAATTAGTGTGTCGGTTAACCACACACGCTCCACTAACGTTTGACAAGGGTACGAAGTGTAATTCCATAAATTAGCATACAATTTCACATTTTGCCTAAAGTAACTATGATTTGAGAATTTGTAAAAGCATTTAGTTACTTTGTACTTCATTATACTTATAATGGAAGGTTTCTTCCTATCCTACCCGTTCAGCTAACGACCTTCCACTTGTCAAAAGTGAGGTGGGTAGGAGTGGATACCCATTCAATCGCCATTTTATAGGAAATTTCCTTAAACACCCTTATAGACCAGCTTCGTGAATGAGGCCTACTAACGGTAAGACTGACTCTTTACTCATATATATAATATTAGACTTTTAATGTTACATATATATATATATATATATATATATATATATATATATATATATATATTATAGGGTGTATTTTACACTTTTAAAATACTAGGTGGTTTTATTACTTTCTCTTTTAATTAAACTTTTAATTAACTTAACAAAACCATGAGGGTGTAATTTGAACTTTTCAAAATACTAGGGTTTTAGAATTTAACATTTCAAAATTAAACTTTTAATCAACTTTTAAATTCTAAAACTTGAGGGCAAATTTTGAAACTTTTCAAAACATTTTGATTCAACTATTTAAATTTTAAAAACTAAAACTATTAAGTTTAAATTTAAACTATGGAACCTAAAGGGAGTAATTTGAAACTTTTCCAAGAACATTCTAGATCAACAATTCAAATAAGGCAATTATCTAATTTTGACCTAGTCAAATTTCTTGTAGGATAATTCATCAAATAACTCAAATAATTAAACATTATCTTATAAGGTAACAAATATTTGATTAAATGGTAATTATCTACTATTTTGCTAAGGATATTCACCCAAAATCAATAAAAATCATAATTTATTAATTAGAAACCTTTATGGTAAGTATCCCAAGCCAAAACAGCAAGAAAATCGCCAAAAATCGCTGCCAGACCCTTGGACTCGCCGAGTTCATCTACTGACTCGCCAAGTCAGTCAAGCAGATGGTGCAAAAATCGATTTTTCAGCCAATAAACTATCAAATACGCATCAATTCACTA